TTTTTTAATATTTATGATATTATATGTATTAATTTAGTTAATAATATAGTTTGTATCACATTGTTAATACAAAATTTTCATACTTTCGATTATTTCTAGTTATTTAATAATATGATTTGTAAAAATAAACTATTTGCACATCATTTACCATTTTTTATATATTGAGCACCAATATATAATTGTAGAAGCTAAACAAGAAAAACACACTTGATATCAATTGTCACCTACACTTAAAACATTGTTTCTAATTAGCTAAGAGCTTTAAATTTTAATTTAGAGATACTGAAATTAAATATTGAAAAGGGCAGGGAAGGATATGATTAAATCATGTTGTAATCAACTTATTGATGATTGAATATCGAAACAACATCCTGCTACTGGACAGTTTTCCAGTGGCATTTATTAATTTAATCACTCTTTATTGAAATTAATGAGCATGAAATCATGACGAGTCTCAGTTAATTTTGTAGCATGAACTATGATGGGGACTTGTGTTGAAGATTATGGTCGTCCGAAGCAGAAGAAGATGCTCCAGCCTCAATGGTGCCGGTGTTTTCCCCTCCAGACTCTGCATGCAGACCTTTACCAACCTTCTCCTTCTTGACAATCTCTTCATCCACATGTACATCCTCCTCAATCTCTAGCAGCACAGCTTGTTGTCCGTGGGGACCGGGAACAATTGTCTCCTTGACTTTCATATGTTCATCAATATGAACTATGTCTGTCTTTTCAACTGTCTTCTTCTTCTTCTTCTTCTTGATGCAACAACATAGAGCGAATGCAAGAAATGCAAGGAGGAATAGGCAACCACATGAGACGAACACAATGATTATGACTGTAGAGTGGTTACCTGGCGAAGGTGGAGGACGAAGTGGTGGTGGTGGGGGGCGTACGTGGGGAGGTGGTGGCGGAATGATTGGATGATGTGGTGGTGGTGGTGACATTGGACGGCTAGGTGGAGGTGGTGGCGAGAAAGATGGGTGTGGTGGAGGTGGTGGGGGAGAGATATATGGGAAGTTGAGGTTATTTGGTAAAGCTATTGGGTTTCGAATCTTTGACAGTAGATGCTCGAAGTTGTTGTGGAGGAAATGGCAGCAGTGGATGTCTATTTGTACCCAAAATTTTGGCATTAAAAATTGTACCAATTTTCTAGTGACCACGACTTGACTCCCATTCTAAGCTTAAGAAATGTTGTGGATTTGTTTGCATTGGAGAACACTCCTCAAAAGAGTTTCCTTGTTTTCTTGACAAGTTACTTCATACTTCAAGATATTTGAAACTTGGTAGTTGAAAGGATTAATGATTCCATTGATAAAAGGAAGAAAACAATACAAAAAGAGACCATTTTGTCACATGCTAATTTCTTCAACAAATCTAGTTAACATCCTGAAGTTTTCTGCTGTTCCTTTACCATGTATTTTTTGCTTTGAACTGATACGGCAAACTTTAATAATCAAAGTTTTATTCTTAATATATGCAAATGAATTTCCAACATAGTTTTAAAGCAATTTCTACTGTGAATCACTTTGTTTTACAAGTCATCCCCACCCAAACCAAATACAGACAAGGGGGAAAAAACCAGAGAAATTAAAAAAGAACCAGCACCATTATAGAAGCAAAGGTAAGAACTGCATGAATTGGCAGTGAGTTGATGGTATCTTTGTCATATCAACTTAAGAACTTTGTCCTTTACAGCATTCATGCTATAGGTCCAAGGAACTCTCAACTCTGTCTTCATTAAAGGTAAAGTTCATTCTCTGAAAGCAGATATGATAGGAGAATTTCATTCCATGTATCAGGCACTCCTGGTAGACACCAGTGGCTACAATCAGGCACAGATGGATTGTCGCTCCAAGTTCCCACATGAGCATCACTCCGGAATGCCCCCATAGGTGTAACATGCAGAACTGTTACTGGAATTGCCATGTTCTTCACAACTTTGATTACAACGTCAGAAAATCGGCTGTGGTCCCTCCCTCTAGTTTTTGACCAAGGTTGCCGAGTCACTTTGCACGAATTGCGGTTTCGACCACTAATACATGCACAAAAATCACCTTAGTTAAGTCTTGTTGAGATTAATAAGCTACAATAAAGGAATATTGAGTCTTTAGAATTTAGATTGTGGTTCTCCTGCTACATCGGAAATATCCAGTATCTCATATTTTAGAGGCTGTCTGCATTCCTATGTCTTAATTACTATCCAACTTAGACCCCCAAACAATAATGATATCAATGTATGACAAAGTAGTTTCACTGGAAGAGATCCATAGATACCGCACATTAGCAGAAGACTTCAATTCTATCAATAGGCAACTTAATTATCACAATAACAGAAAACTAGCAGCAAAAGAGTGGCTTTCTGTGCTATGTACCTCCAATGCGAAGATTCAAAGGTCCGGAAGAAAATACTTGTCCTGTTTGGGTTAATTGTGGCCTCAGCCCAAGCTGCCCATGTTTCTAATGCTGTTCTGAAGGCAGAAGAGATAGGCATCCCAAGCTTTAATGATCCGCCTACCTGAAAATACCAACCCCTGTCTGGGCAAGCACGTTAGGAATATGTAACAAAGAAAAATTCTGTACAAGGAGATTTTTTATACCAAATGCCAGATATGAATATTTTCTGTTTACGATTACGTGGCAATCTTAAGCCTTCATATCAATAGGACGATGGGAAATGACTGTCAAAATCTTTTACAATAATAACAGGCTAATCAGGCTCAGAGAAAGAAATTGACTACTGTAAGTGTACCTATTTAAACAAGTCCAAACAATGTATGAGAACATGAGAAACGTCTTACATTGGCCCTTCCTTAAGCTCTGGGTTTTTATTTCTTTAATTTGTTCTAACAGCTATCGCAGGCAGATTAAAATTCCAAATGTTTTCCATATTACAATCCAATTTTGATTTGTACTCTAAAAAAACAGAAAGGGGAAAAAAAAAGAAGAAAAAGACATTAGAAAATATAAAATTAGTGTAAAAGTTATAATGCACCATTGATCTATATCATAATGCTGAAACCAAGGATTTGAAGTAGAAGAGAATCAATTTTTAGTCATTTATAAGAATCCTTATGATTCATTTGACAACCAAAAGCTTGTGAAACTAAATGTAATCAAGATGCCAATCCAAAATTTTAACAGAAAAATATTCTCAAAGAATAAACAAGAAATATTAACCACTGACATGAAAATCCATGCAAAAGATAACTAGAAAACTTACATCTCAAAGAGCTTTGAAGGAGTCCACCAATGCCCCGAATTGAATATGAGAGCGTCAGCATCAATCCACTCCTTGCTAATATCATCCAGCTTGTCAAGTTTAAGAGCCGTCTTAACTCTCTTTGGTGCACGCCTTGGTGCTGGACCAGGCTGAACCAAGAAAACTGATCGATAAAAGTCGATACTAAGATCAAATGAACTAAAACGCACACCTAAAAACCTAATCTGTTTAGTAATCTTATTCCCATTGACTTCATAAACACTCTTCTTATCCTCCACACCAATCATAAGTATACATATCATAGATTCCCACTGAGTTCTGCTCAATGAATCACCAACAAAAACAATGCGCTTCCCTCTAAGCTCTTCAAGGATTTCAGTCATATTCAACCTTGGAATTTCACAATTTCTAGGCTTCCACCTCCATTTTAGATAACCTTTATCTCTTCTTCCATTAGCCAAGCAGTCAAACCCACGCTCCGCAAAGGGACATTCTGAAGCATTATATAAAGGGTAACTTTGATCGGGCATCCATTTTCCATCAAAGACATTACATCTACCAATCGGATCACTAGACTCCGGAACCCCATAATCACGAATAATAGGCTGAACTTTTGGAAACACATAAACATATGCACATAGTACTGCAAAAATGAATGATGACAATGAGCCAATAACAACAGCTCCACCTACTGATTCGAAAAACCAAATCTTACAGTGACCCTTCATCTTCATGATTTTCTTGCTAATACTCAAAAACATTGTATAGAAAGGCCTGAAGTGACCCAGAAGAACATTGTTTGGACCAACCTGCATCTCAATCACCTAGAAGAACACACCCACAACCATATAACCACCATCTTTGTTCCTTCACAACTGAACTAACAAAGGGAAGCTAAACCCATCTACCTAGAACCCAAATAGCCACATAAATAAACAGAGGAGTTGAAATTGAAACCAATTACCAGAAGAGTAAGATTCAAAGCAAGAGCAACAATGGAAACTTCAAGATCTCAAGCATGCTCCAGTAAATAATACAAAAAAACAAACTTTCGTGTTATTGGGCACCAAATGGCAGTGAAAGCTTTAGCCTTTAGGGGTCGGGACATTTGCAGTTGCAGGTGCGGCAAGCAAGGTGGTTGGGAAAGACAACAGTACCAGCAAGGTGAGGGCATTTTGGTCATTATGTATCCTGAACATGATCTGGGAACTAAAAAGACAAGGGCACGTGTGGTTAAAACATAAGTCAAATTTAGTCCTTCAATTTTTAATTTTGAATATTTTTATCTCTAAATTATTTTTACACTTTTTTTAGTATTTGAATTATGAAAAATATACTTTTTTTTTATCATACTATCAATCAATTCATTAAATCTATTAAAAACATACATTTTTAATATCTAAATTTATAATATATATACATTTTTAATTCTTAAACTTGTAAATTTAAAGATAAAAAATATATTTTTTTTGACAAACTTAATAAATTAGTTAACAGAAAAATTAAACAAAATACATTTTTTATAGTTTAGGGACCATAAAAAGGTAAAAAATAGTTTGAGGATAAAAAATGTTCAGAATTGAAAGTTTAAGGATTTAAATTTGACATTTAACCAAACATAAATGAAGCATTGTCCGCTGTCGGTGCAGTTTGGGGAAAATAAGAATGGCAAATATTTTATTGTTTTGTTTTGCGCCTCATTTTCAATTCTATCCAGGAACTCTTTCTAAAATTTCAATTGTACCATAAAACTTGAAAAGGTTGTGGCGTAGTCCATACAGCGCGAATTGCACTTCATTTTTCTAATAACTTTTATTTGTTTTCAATTATACCCTTTCCATTAGTTATCTGTTGCATTTGAACTGCTAATCCGAATCTCTTAATTATGCTTGTTAGAAAATAGTAGTATACAAAAGCAACTAATAAACATTGTTTTTCAAGGAATTGCTAGATAAAGGGCAGCAAACTGCCAGCTTTTTATAAAGGCAAAGGCAACAAAAGGATGGGCAGATGAGTTGAGTCATCTGGTGCTTGACTAAAGTATCATGCAGTTCAGCTGAATGCATTAATGTACGCCTACTACAAATCATAAAATATTCTCACAATACAAAGTAGAAATCGAATTCATTCAATTAGGCTAAATCCATTTCAACAATTAAAGCACTGTTATCAATGAATTGAAGTCCTAAAAACATTTCCATGCAACTGAACAATCCAAATGCTTCTATTTTTCCCTCGTGTATTATTCTGCAAGTCTTTTTATTGCTTTTTGGAAATGCAAATTTTTGAGATTTTCAAAAAAAAAAAAAATGGAAATCTTTCACACTATGCTGACATGTGGAGTACTTCTCAATCATCAATAGAAGGACGGGTGTTATTAGGTAATCTCCGGCCATGCACAAACGAACTGAATAGATGCAGGGCTCGTGATGGCTGTGCATATGGAACCATATGAGAAGCAGCCCTCACTGTGGCAAAAGTCAGTAAATTTCCATATTCAGTAGCCCAGCCAGCCACCTAAGGGGGAAAAAATCAGGAGAAAAGTAACTGTTAGTCTTTATGCAAGGTACAAGCATTAAAAGGAAGAACTACTAAGATTATCAGGTTGCTTAAGAACCTGTCCTTTGTGAAACCATGCTCCATATGGGACTGTTATCTTGAAGTTTAGATCTTGAGCCAGTTCACGGACTAGTGTTCGGGAGCTAAGTAGTGGAATGACAGAATCTTGATCGCCGCTGCAATGATTAGTGTCAATGATTAATTTATGGTATTAGCAACCATCAATTTACTGAAACAAATAAAAGAATCTACATTATAGATGTTACCTGAACACCCAAACTGGAATATGATGTTGAGCAATCTTTTTGAGCACAGGAATGATGTTAATGTTTACATCAGAGTCTCTGTAATTTAAAACACTGACAACACAAAAACCAGGAGACTAGTCACATTTTCTTATCTTGTAAATAAATTGTGACTTGGCTGAAAATGGACAAATCTAAACAGACTTGATCAAGAATGAAGAATATGTCAAAGATTAACTAAAGCACAGAGTAATTCAACTTCTGATAAATTAACTTTCAGATAGATTAAAAACATTTCTGGCTCAAAAAGTTAAATTCACTTCCCTATCTAGGTACATTTTTGGAAAACAAGAACATGGTAATAACTTAAAATGACTTACTCACTGCACATAGACCAGCTATAAGGTAAGTTTGTCCGATTTGCATGGAGAGCCTTCTGAACCTCAGGGAGGTTGAAGTAGAAAGCCCTTTCATAACTCATACACACATCAACTCCAAGACTTATTTTAGTAGCCTGCATAAATTAGGAAATCAATCAATTCCTTTACAGTAATGAAATGACAGTAGAGCAGGAGAATGGTAAAGCAGAAAGGGAAAGTTTGTAAAAGAAATTATAAGTGTCTAGCGTTTACCATCTTCCGCAATCGCAGCTCTTGCTCTACAATAGATGGATAACAAACATCAAGTATAACATCGTAAGGGTCTATGTATTCACTAACAATGCTACTTGCTTCAGCCAAAGCATCATTACATGAATGGGATACGTTATGGGGGCTCTCATCAGTATAATCACCAAAATCACATTCATCCATGATGGTAAGGCCAATTTCATCGGAAATCATCCCATGTGACCAGAAGAATTGATAAGATGATGGAATATCCTGATTGAATTTGAGAAGTGGGTTCCCAATCTAATCAGAGGAAAGCCAAGTGAAGTATTAAAAGAGTTACACTGACAACCATAAAACGATGAAAGAACTAAAAGGCTGGAGAGATAGTTTCCGTAGAAATTGTTGTCTTTCATCAAAGATCAAATACAGAAAAATTTAACTGTAAGGTTTTCTTACAGCAACGCCTTTAAGGTTGAACTTAAAGCCAGTTGAATGCGCATTATGGTCCAGTAGAAGATCAGCCAACTGTGGTATGTAATGCCCTGGAACAAGATTTATATGCATAAGCAGTTAAAATCCACTAACTTAGAAGGCAAAGTTACAGACCTAAGATATTGGCAGCTTATGGTGGTTTCATTGCTATCACCACACCAGTAGTCAAATAGACCAAAGATACACTTTGTAGTAAAACACCAAATAAAATCTAAATTTGAGAACATAACCACAGATTCATTATTGGCAAACCTGCATAACTCTCTCCAGTGAGGAACAATTCTCTAGACTTCAACTCCGGGAACTTCTCATACCATTTTAACATGAATACATGCATATCCATGGCTGCCAAGAAGAAGAAATTGAGTTGGGAGCAATCCTAAGCAAACAGCTCAGTTAAGAGACAAAGTTTTATTTAGCATCCATGTAATTTTCAGCCAGAACTTATCCCAGTATCAGACAAAAACAAAAGGATCCATAGCGTCACTTTACCAGTGGAAGCATCACCACGTCTGTAATCTAAAGTTGTATTCGAGTATGACCATCCTACTCCAACAGGGGACTCAACAAAGAGGAGATTTGACGCTACAAAAGGGACATAACAGAAATATCTTACTTTAGATTGAGTCAAACACTTAAGACTAATTTCATTTAACACTGCAGATCATATGTTCTACCTCTATTCCATGACATTGAATTTCTTCGAAGTGCTCTACCATCACCCGTGGGATAAAATGGACCCAATTCTGTAAAAGCACCTCCACCAACGGAGGAACAACCTGGTCCTGAAAATAGAGTCAGAATATCATTTTGGAACCTGAAACTCCCATCTAAAATTGCATAAACTAAACAGATCTCTATATGATGTAGAATGAGATGTGATAATAAGAACAATCTCTCTATTCCCCATGAAAGAATTTATAATGTCAAATATCTTGTCAGCCTACATAGAATAACTAAGGTAAAAAAAGAAAAAAAAAAAGAAAAAAAAAAGATCTACCAGAAAACAGAAAAGTTCTAAAACTAGAATTTGTGAAAACAAAGGAAAGAAAATAATAGAAAGTACCAACCAACTATGCTGCATAGTACACAAAAACTATAAACAATTCACTAAAGAAACAAAAGGTAAGATCCGAAACTGAGACAAATTCCAATTGTTAGCAAATAATGCCCAGATGTAGGAGAAGATGAGCAAAGTAACCAACCTCCATTGAGCCAGAGAGCGAGGGGTTTGGTGTCAGGGTCCTTCTCAGCCTCAACAAAGTAGTAAAACAAGCTCCTTCCTGCTTTTTCATCAACATCAACATACCCTGCAAACTGCCTGAACCAAACTTTAGGCTGACCAGGCAAGCTCACCACCAGATCCTCCTGCGGGTACCCGTTGACCGCAACTGCCGTCAACGCCACAGAAATCAAGAACCCACCGAGCCACCACATACCCATTTCAAGTTCCTCACTCAAAAACCTTTCCTTTATCCATTCACGCAGAATCATAGCGTATAGAAACAGGACAAAACCCACCCAAAAGACAAAAGAATTAGTATAAAACAACCATAATGCTATAACAATGATGATATTGAGACCATATGCTACTAATTCTTTTCAAAACAAACTCTGTTACCTCTGGCACGTGAATTCTGGGTCGCCTTAACGAAAAGATGGCTAATTTATTCTCTGAAAAATGCTGACTTAAACAGCATTTGCCATATTTATAGAGACGTTAGGATTTTGGAAGCTGCACTCCGCTGCTGCAGCCGCAGGCAGTGTGGGTCACACTTTCATTTTAGAAGGGTTTCTTTTTACTCCTTTAAAAAAAAAAAAAGAAAAATTATCAGATTTTGACTTCTTCCTTTTTTCTTTTTTTTTCGGTAGAGGGAAGAAGACTGAAATAATTATTGGTTTTTCTTTGGAATAACCCAAAAGCTAGCCCCTGAATTTATGTTGTTTTATTAATCTAGTATTGAAACTTGTTTTTGAGTCATTTAAGGCCAAATCTCTAAAGTTTAAGAGAAAAAGTAAAATGTCACAGACAACCATCATTACTCTATTATCATTTCTTTATTAAGATTTTGATCACAACTTCTTAAGCTTGTATGGAAGGAAGTTAATGTTAATAATATTAGGCAATGAAAAAGTTTTTTACTTAAAGTCTTTCTATGATAGATTATTTTAACTAAATAAATACTATTATTTTTACTAACTAAGACTTCAATAAAATTATTATTCTAGCTAAATAAGTATTGTAATTCTAGTGATTGAACAAGACTAACAAAAATAATGATAGTTAACTAAGATCATTTGACTTTTCTAAATAATTTTGGCCTTATATTATAGGGAAAACCTTACATTAATCTTTTAAATTGACCAGTTGAACCGTAAAGGTTTTTAAAAATAGATTAGCCCTTGAACCCCCAAGATCTATGTGATTTTGCCCTTTTCTTGATGGTAGACTACAAAGTTACAAGCAAAGCAAAACATAAAAGATGGCAAAATTACATAAATTGTAGGGTTTGAGGATTTATTTGCTTTGAAAGAGTCTATAAACTTAATTGGGTATATAAAATCAGTTTAAAAACTTAACACAGCGTTTTGCCTATATTATATACATACATTGTATTACAATGCTCAATTGGTGTAAAAACAAAGTTAGGGCGGGATTGAGAAACCAAAGAGAGTTTAGGGGCTAAGGGAGTTAGCCCATCTAATTTTTGTTTTGGCATGAGCCATGATGAGGATAACTGGATAACCGGATAACCATCCTCCATGCTGTCAATAAGCCAAACTCTAAATATCATATCGAGTTAGATTGGCATGGGCAGCGGCAGTTCTGGAAGTTGCAGCAGACAGACCAATTATTGAACGGAAAGAATGAGAAGGAATCTTTTTGCTTAAAAAGGTGAGTTATCCTAGGTCCCCAGAATATTAGCTTAGCCTAGATAATCACAACAGAAAATGGATTATAAGATTTATTACTATATTTTATATTTTTTAAGTAAAAAAGATAATTATTTTTAATAAATATTAATTTTTAAGCAAAATAAATAATTATCTTTAATAAATATAAATAAATTTCAACCATTAAAAGTGAAAAGATAAATAATTAAAATTTTAAGTGTAATGTATAAAATTTATGTGTAAGTAGATTTCTACTCATATATATATATATGAGTAAGAATTTAATTACATACAAATCTTACACATCATATTTATATAAAATTTTAACCATTCATATATGAGTAGAGATCTATCTACACAAGTCTTACGCACTACATTTACATAAAATCTCAACCATTCAT